CTCGTCTCCGCAGACGCATTCAGAGAACTGCGTTCCCACAGCGGGACAGAGAGCCTCTCCCCCGGGACAGGCTCCATTACCTCCAGACACACCTGCTGCTGTGCCTGTGCATCGTGATAGCGTTCAAGCAAACAGGATGTAATTGTGCAAACCTCGGTTTTTTCGCCTTTTTTTGTTTTGAGTTCTGCGGCGCTCCGTGTTTTGATGTCTGATGTGTTTCCCTCCCCGTTAATTAATGACCCCGGCTTTTATAGCGTCCCGGGTCCAGGGGTTGCTGTCATGGTAACAGCGAGGTAAAGGGGGAAAAAAAAGAGGAAAAACAGCCCCCGAGCCCCGCCCCCCTCCGCGCGAGCTGCAGTCCGAGCACGTCCCTCCCCCCGGGCACCGCGCAGGAAATCACCGTAAAGCTCCAGTCCGGGTAAAAGCCACAGAGAAATCAGGGTAAGAGCAGCAACGCGGAGATCAAGGCAAAAGCACGGGAATTCACAATGAAATCAGGGTGCAAGCATAGTATAGCAGAGCGAAATCAGGGTAAGATATCAGCAAAGCGGTGATCAAGGTAAAAGCACGGTACTTCACAGTGACATCAGGGTAAGAGAGCATCAAAGCGGTGATCAAGGTAAAAGCAGAGTAAACCACAGTAAAAACATAGTAAAGCACAGTGAAATCAGGGTAAGAGAGCAGTAAAGCCGAGTTCAAGGTAAAACACATCAAACTGAAAGCAGGGTAAAAACATAGTAATGCACATTGATATCAGGGTAAGGGAGCAGTAATGCGGTGATCAAGGCCAAAGTACAGTAAACGACAGTGAAATCAGGGTAAAGTACAGTACAGCAGTGATCAAGCGCAGTAAAGGTCAGTAAAGTGTAACAAAGCACACTTGGAAACAGGGTGAAAGTGCGGTAAAGTGCAGTTAAACAATAACATAATGGTAAAAGCACACTGAAGTGTAGTAAAACAGTAATATCACGCTAAAAGTGCAGTAAAGCAGTGATAAAGTTAAAAGCACGGTAAAGCTCAGTAAAGTGTAGTAAAGCACAGTGGAGTCAGGGCAGAAGTGCGGTAAGGTGCAGTGAACAGTAACATCATTATAAAAGCACAGTGAAGTGCGGTAAAACAGTGAAATCAGGGTAAAACACGGTAGAAACGTGAGGTCACGGTAAAAGCGCAGTAAAGTGTAGTAAAGCCCAGTGGAATGAGGGTGTGAAACTGCAGTACCATGATAAAAGCACAGGGAAGTGCGGTAAAACGGAGAAATCAGGTAAAAACATGAGATCATGGTAAAAACGCAGTGGAATGAGGGTGTGAAAGTGCAGTACCATGGTTAAAGCGCAGTAAAGTGTAGTAAAGCGCAGTACCATGGTAAAAGCGCAGTAAAGTGTAGTAAAGCGCAGTGAACCGCTAGTCCGTTAGCGACTCCCTTCAGTTCAGCCCGTCCGGCCTCCTGGCTGCACGGGTGAATGTGAACGGGTGAATGTGAACGGGTGAATGCACTTTTTTTTCAGAATGGACCAAAGTCTTGGGATTGACTCGGTAGGGGAATAAGCAACATTCGTTTCTGAAACCATCCGGAGTCGCTGCTCTGTGTTAATAATATCGTTTCTGGAAGCCAAGGGGCTCGAGTCTCCGGTAATGAAGATCCTGCGCTTGTCCATCTGGGGTGTGAGGAGACGCCCTGCCCCACAGGCGAGCAGTGACCTGCCCGAAGATCACCCCGTTCATTCCCTTCCTGGTGGCGCTGACCCCGCCAGTATTCTTCAGCCTGGATTACTGCAGGCCATGTACAGCGCTGTAAAACCACTGGTGTGATCGATCACAAATATACCTGCTACTGCTGCTGGAATGGAAATATTCGGTATCCCGCAGCTTGCAACCTGAACGGGATCTTTACAAATGCTTATTGGGCATTTTAGCTAATTTGTCGGCAGTTTGAAACGCACGGTTGTCATGTCCGTTCGCACCTCTGACTGCTGCGGTAAGAAGTGCTATCGCAAGCCGTCGTGCATGCTGCAGGTCTAACCGCCGCCGCCGCCGCCCGGTGTGTCTTTAAGGGAAAGTTATCGCCCCGGGCTGTGAAACGCGATACCCCGCAGGCCAACAGCTGGCGTGTGAGGGGGGCTGGGGGAGGAGAGAGAGAGGCGAGCGGACCCGGGGGAACCGCGAGTCCGAATCCCCCTCTGCCGAGCAGCGGAACCGAGCCCAGAAGCGCGCCGGGAGCCCCGCTGCGGTGCCGAGTCGCCATGCGTCCCCGATCCCTGACCGTCAGGCTGGTTCTGGCCGTGGTGCTGTTTTCTCTGTGCGCGCTGCACGGTACGTGAGTAATTACGGTAATGGTTCTGCGTCGAGTTACAGCGCTAAGACTGCATGACTTCTGCTGTCATGGTTGTGTACAATGTCACACTACAGGGCTTGGGCGCGTATCTTTAATACACTTCCAACTCATGGAGATTCGGATGTTATACAGTTTACGTTACGTTTGTCTTTCTCATTGCGCAATAGGTCTTTACTTCTGTCTCTGCTGTAAT